TTTTGCTCTTTTGCCCAGGTTGGAGTGCAGTGGTGTGGTCTCTGCTTACTGCAACCTCTGTCTCCCAGGTTCAAATGATTCTCCTGCCTCAGCCTCCCGAGTAGCTGGGACTACAGGTGCCTGCCACCACGCCTGGCTAATTTTTGTATTTTTAATAGAGACAGGGTTTTACTATGTTGGCCAGGCTGGTCTCCAACTCCTGACCTCAGGTGATCCACCCACCTCGGCCTCCCAAAGTGCTGGGATTACAGACATGAACCACCATGCCCGGCCTATGTGAAATATTTTATACAAGAAAACTACAAATAAGATTTTTTAAAGCAGTGAGTAATCACTATAATATTGATACACCAAATTTTGGTTTCACAGTTATGAAAAATGGATATAACATAAAGGAAGTTTTTTCTACAGATCACTGTTCATATAAGAGGATATAAATGGTTACTAAGTGTATGAAGAACTTCAGCTTCTCTAATAGTGAAAGATATAGACTAACTACCATGCATTCGGTACTAGTACATCTTGGGCATGTTGACCACAATCCCACATAGTAGGTATGTAATACACATATACAAATAATAAAACTCTTGCTGGAAAAGAAGAAATAATTTATCCCAAGTCCCAAAGTCATAGAGTTAGTAAACTGTAGAGCCGACATTCAAATACCAGGGAACTCTTGATTACAAAATCCATGTTCTTTATTTTAATTTTTCTTTTTTTCTTTTTTTGAGACAGTGTCTTACTCTGTCACCCAGGCTAGAGTGCAGTGACGCGATCTCAGCTCACTACAACCTCTGCCTCCTGGGTTCAAGCGATTCTCTTGCCTCAGCCTCCTGAGTAGCTGAAACTACAGGTGTGCACCACAATACCTGGCTAATTTTTGTATTCTTAGTAGAGACGGGGTTTCACCGTGTTGGCCAGGTTGGTCTTGAACTCCTGACCTCAACCCATATGACCTCCTTGGCTTCCCAAAGTGCTGGGATTACAGGTGTCAGCCACCACACCTGGCCAAAGCCCATGTTCTTAACCACTATACTGTATTGCTTGTAAAAATCAGAACTCCTTAGGGGTCATGTTTTATACCTAAAGAATTAAATTTATTACGGTTTACTTGAAAGAAATAAATGAGAAACCTGATAAGAAAAAGTATGAGTGGGAAATTACCATACTGGATAATAAAATGCAGTATGAGGCTACATTGTTTTATTTATTTATTTTTTTGTAGTTGTTGACTTTTTTTTTTTTTCTCCAGAGACAGGATGTCGCTATGTTGCCCAGACTGGTCTTGAACTCCTGGGCTCAAGTGATCCACCTGCCTCAGCCTCCCAAAGTGCTGGGATTACAGGCGTGAGCCACCGTGCCCAGCCCAAGGCTACATTGTCTAAAACACATTAAATACTGGCATAGGAGAGAGTTAAGTAGAATGGGAAAAGAAAAGAAAAAAAAAAAAAAGCTTGAAAATACTCCCTGTTGCAAGTGAAATGTGTTTTATAATATAGAGAATTTTTTAAATTTTTTATTGTGGGTGCATAATAGGTATAGATATTTAAGGAGTACATGTGATGTTTTGATGGGGCATACAATGTGTGATGATCACATCAGGGTTATTGGGATGTACAACACTTCAGCATTTATCATTTCTTTGTTTTAGGAACTTTCCAATTCTACTCTTAGTTATTTTAAAATAATGTAATAAATTATTGTCGGTTGTCATCATGCTGCTGTGCTATCAAATACTATTCAAATTTTATTCATTCTCACTATATTTTTCTACCCATTAACCATCCCCACTTTTTCTGCCCCTCCCTAGTACCCTTCTATTGTTTTAATGAACAATTGAGTTCAATTGTGTTAATTTTTAGCTCCCACACAATGAGCGAGAACGTGCAAAATTTTTCTTTCTGTGCCTTATTTCACTTAACATAATGTCCTCCAGTTCCATCCATGTTGTTGCAAATGATAGGTGTTTTCATTCTGTTTTATGGCTGAATAATATTCCATTGTGTGTAGTTCCACATTTCATTTATCCATTTATCTGTTGATGGACATGTAGGTTGATTCCAAATCTTGGCTATTGTGAAAAGTACTGCAGTAAAAATGAGAGTGCAGATACCTCTTTGATATACTGATTTTCATTCTTTCGGGTATATACCTAGCAGTGAGATTGCTGAATCGTATGGTAGTTCTATTTTTTAGATCCTTGAGTGACTTCCATTCTGTTTTCCATAGTGGCTGTACTAATTTACATTCTCACCAACACTGTGAGGATTCCTAATGGAATGTTTTTAAGATTAAGGAGAATAGATTATTTTATGCATGACATTAGGACAGATGGCTCACTATTTGGGGGAAAAAGGTAGATCTTTGTTTCTCCTTATAGAAAAATTACAGATGTAAAAATAAACTATTAAAAGGGGTAAAAACCTGATGAGGGTGAATTTGTTTCATAATCTTGAGGTGGGAGGATGTGGTAATATGTGAAGTATTCATTTTCTGACCAACTAATAATCTCAGACATTGGCGTATTTTTTTTTTTTTTTTTTTTTTTTTTGAGACGGAGTGTTGCTCAGATACCCAGGCTGGAGTGCAGTGATGCAGTCTCGGTTCACTGAAACCTCCGCCTCCCAGATGCAAGCGATTCTCCTGCTTTGGCCTCTTGGGTAGCTGAGATTACAGGCCCACGCCATCACACCCGGCTAATTTTTGTATTTTTGTATTTTTAGTAGAGATGGGGTTTCACCATGTTGGCCAGGCTGGTCTCAAACTCCTGGGCTCAAGTGAGTTTAAGCCTCCCAAAAGTGCTGAGATTACAGGCATGAGCCACCTCATCCAGCCAACATTGGCACATTCTGTTCTCAACTACAACTACCTCTCATTTGGACCAGGTGCCAGATATCAGAACTAGTTAAGCAAAATAAACGAATGCTTGAATGCTATCTTCTAAAGGCATCACCAGGAGTAAGACAGATTTGCAAAAGTCCAAAAGGTAAAACATCTAACTTATATGTTCACCTACACATAGCAATTAAGGGTTAAGAGATTAAGGGTTGTGAGCTGGGAACAAAAAGCAAACTATGAATCACATGTCTTGCTTCCCTGCTCTCTCCTTGAGTTTGGTGTGTGTGCGCTAAGAATATTTCTCTTGACATTTGAGGATATCTGAGAGTTCAAGAGTATGCGTGTAACTGACTTATACTGGGGTTGGCAAAAACACCCTCTGTCAGTGGGCCAGTAAATATGCCAGTAGACTACCAAAGTAGAAGAAGATAGAATTAGCTGTTTAGTAACACTGTTCTCCCCACCCTACATACACATATACAGACCTAGTTTCTACCAGCTCCCAGGAGTCATTAGGCATCATGAGGGTTTAGAATCAAAAATCAAATTGAATATGAATAAGAAAAACCCAACACTTTTGAAAATGAGCAAAGAAGAGCAACATTTGAAAGAAAAGAATCTTCACTATCATTTGTAAAGAAATTAACCTAAAGTAACGAGATAGGCAAAAAGTTTTAAACTCAAAAGGAATATTGAGAAATAGTTACTTAAGGAATGAAGAATATGTGTTGTTACAACCTTAGATATACCCTTTGAGCATTTCCATTCATACTTGTCCTACAGATGCTTTCACAAGTCCACAAAGATATCTTGTACATAATAATACATAAGTGGTTCTTTGTAGCACTTAGGAGATGGTAGGCATTTAGTTTGTTGCCAGAGTTTTTTTCCTACCAATTTGTATCTGGTTAAATAAATTTGGTTAAGTCCATATAGTGGAATATAATGCAGCTATTATAAGGAATGTAGTAGAAGTATTGGTATGGAAAGATCTCCAGGTTATATCAAGTAAACCAAAGCTATGGATAAAGTTCTATATTGTGTATATCTTATATCTATTTATATAGGAATATATATATTCCTTTACATATTCAAATATGCACACATTTGTATATACATTAAAATACTGGGAAGAATATACGCATTCTGAATGGGCTACCTATGAAGACTGGAACTTTTCATACTATTAGAATGTTTTTTATCCATGAACGTGTGTGTGTGTGTGTGTGTGTGTGTGTGTGTGTGTTTGAATTTAATAAGGTATACACCAAAATTCAGTGTTGATAGTCCTGGATGAGACTAACACCTTTATATGGCAGTTGGTAGTATCACAAACTAGGAAAAGCTTTCTGTGTGGTGGCTAAACCAAAACTTATTTTGAGCACCTGTTATGTGCCAGGCATTATACTAAACATTTTACTCACATTTATCTTACTTAAATCTCCAACTCTATACAGTAGATTCTTTTTTTCTCTTACTGGAGGAAATAGATTTAGAAGACTGATTTCTTGCCGGGAGTCACAAACTGTTTCAGTATCGGAGTTGGATTCTAATCCAGACAGCCCGAGTGCAGAGAATGTTCTTTCTGCCCCTACACATACTCTGCAGCAGCTCAGAAAGAGTGTATGAAAGGTTATCATTTCAGACAAAAGACCAGGATTTGAGTCTGTCAGTTTCAACTCAAAATGGAGATAACCTCTGCCCTTCTTTGAAGAAATCATATTTAGTTGATTTGTATTCAAATACCTTCTACATTCATGACGTATTATATGAATAAGAGATTTGGATCAATAAAATATTTTTAACCATAGCCCACTTTCTTTATATAACAAGTTCAAATGTTTTAACTCCTCCACATCTCATCTGTAAAATGCAAGCTTTGTTTTTGTCAACTGTTTTGTATCTCTTTATATAACTCTCAGTTTTGGCAATTTATTTTGCTATATTGAGGAAATATTCAGTGTTTCTGACACTTTTTTTTCGTTTCTACCTAAACTGATTTTATCACTAGTTATATCGTGTTAACAACATGCTTTTAAGACCTAATACTAGAATCTCTCTATTTTAAAAACAAATGAGCGAAAGAAAACTTTGTAGGTCTATGTCGTCTGTTTGCTACTTTTTAAAAATACATGAACTTACCTGTTTTTTCTTCTTTTTAGGAACATCATCTTCAGCGGGCTATTTCAGCACAGCAGGTGTATGGCGAGAAGAGGGATAATATGGTTATACCAGTCCCAGAGGCAGAAAGTAATATTGCTTACTATGAGTCTATATATCCTGGGGAATTTAAGATGCCAAAGCAGCTCATTCACATACAGCGTAAGTAATGATTCTCTTAATGATTGTATTTTCTTTATTTCTCTTATTATGTGTAAGTTGACAGATTTTTATCTCTTCAGGAACATTTTTCTTATTTGTTTCATTGACCAGTATCAGCTTAAGAGTTACTAGAGCCCATTTTCAACTTGTAAAATGGTATTTGAGATATCTGACAAGAAAAGATAGCATTTATTATTCTACATTTTTTATTTCATCCCAGCATACAATCTTATGCTGCTTCAGTCAAGTAGGATAAGGGGGGGGGGGGCGGGAAACAAAACTCAGATATAGAAATAGTTTTCTTCCTGTTCAGAATTAATAATATTAATAGTCTTAAAGAACTTCCTGCCGGGCGCGGTGGCTCAAGCCTGTAATCCCAGCACTTTGGGAGGCCGAGGCGGGCGGATCACGAGGTCAGGAGATCGAGACCATCCTGGCTAACACGGTGAAACCCCGTCTCTACTAAAAATACAAAAAAAACCTAGCCGGGCGAGGTGGCGGGCGCCTGTAGTCCCAGCTACTCCGGAGGCTGAGGCAGGAGAATGGCGTAAACCCGGGAGGCGGAGCTTGCAGTGAGCCGATATTGCGCCACTGCACTCCAGCCTGGGCGACAGAGCAACACTCCCTCTCAAAAAAAAAAAAAAAAAAAAAAAGAACTTCCTGATGTAAGTGAAAGTCAGCAGACTTTTTCTGTACAGGGTCAGATTGTAACTACTGTAGGCTTTGTGGGTCATTCAGTCTGTCACAACTATTCAGTTCTGCTGTTGCAGTGTAAAATCAGCTAAAGAGAATACAAAAATGAGTGAACATGGCTGTGTTGCAATAAAACTTTATTGATAAAAACAGATTGGCCCATGGGCCATAGCTTGCCTGCCAAACCCAGATCTGTTTTTTCTAGTAGAGTGATGCTAATTTTTAAAATTTAGTGGTCTGATTGGGAACTTATTTCACTTAATAGTGATAAGTTCTTTATAAGAAATGATCGTTTGTGTGTGACATTTGGTGATGAATAGCTGTGAGAGCTTTTACTCAATCTCCAATTAATTAACAACTTAAAAACAAATAATTGAAAGGTTAGTAAGATAAAATTCCTGCAGCTTTCGTTGTCTTGTTAATCTTTATGATCAAGAGGTTTTTTTTTTTTTCCTGGTTTTTTTTTTCTTGTTTTTTTTTTTTCTTGTTTTTAAGACGGAGTTTCACTCTTGTTGCCTGGGCTAGAGTGCAATGGCACGATCTCAGCTCACTGCAACCTCTGCCTCCTGGGTTCAAGGGATTCTCCTGCCTCAGTCTCCCGAGTAGTTGGGATTACAGGCATGTGCCACCATGCCCAGCTAATTTTGTATTTTCAGTAGAGATGGGGTTTCTGCATGTTGGTCAAGCTGCTTTCCAACTCAGGTGATCTGCCCGCCTCGGCCTCCCAAAGTGCTGGGATTACAGGCATGAGCCACCGTGCCTGGCCTGATCAAGAGGTTTCTCTAGGGGACCATCTAAATGTTTTTTTTTAGGACAATATAAACCTATGTTGTTTTTATTGTTCCTTGCAAGCACCTTGAGAAACCAGTTTTAACTAGTTTACTTGTGCAGTCACATGTTTTGTTAAATTTAAGAGACAGACACAGACATTATAAACAAATGTGATAGATATTAGAACCTAAAAAGTTGTTTTCCAGAAACTCATGTCAAGGTGGATTTGAAAGCTAAGGATCTGATCTTCCCCATGTATGTTAACTGGAACCAAATCATTCTGTTCTGCTGTCACAACCTATGTTATCTTATAAATGCATGCTTTTAGCTTAAAGCAAGGTTGAGTAAACTAAGATAAAATTATACTAATTTACATTATCATTATGAGACAAAAATTAATACATGTCTTAAAGATGGCTTACTTATTGATGATCAAAATCTATAAAATACATTTGACTGATAACTAGTGAATTATATGTGGTCAGTAAAGTCAAAAGGTACTATATTGAGAAAGGAATTGACTCCTGACATTATAATCAAATATTAATAAATGACAGCAGAATTGTAGCTTATTTGGGAGGAAATTTTTTATCAGTACAAATTTGAGGTAACTTGTCTTTGGAAAGATGTATACTTTGGAATATTAGTAAAGATAATGCTGCTAAATTTGTGTTAGCTGCCCTATATCTATGGGAGGTTGCAAAGAAATGTACAGAGAAGTCTCCTGCACAGTTCCTCTAGCCTCATCTAGTATTAACCTCATGCACAACTATTGTATAGTATCAAAACCAAGAAATTAAAATTGGTACAATCTAGAGTTTACGCAGATTTCACCAGTTAGACATGCACCACATATGTGTGTGTGCATGTTTGTAGTTGTGTATAATTTTATCATGCATAGCCCTGCATAACCACCACCACTATCAAGACACTCACCTGCACCATCACCAGCAGATGCCCTCTTGTTAGTTTTTTGTTTTGTTTTGTTTTGAGACGGAGTCTCACTCTGCTGCCCAGGCTAGAGTGCAGTGGCGCGATCTCGGCTCACTGCAAGCTCCACCTCCCGGGTTCATGCCATTCTCCTGCCTCAGCCTCCCGAGTAGCTGGGACTACATACACCTGCCACCACACCTGGCTAATTTTTGTGTATTTTTAGTAGAGACGGGGTTTCATCATGTTAGCCAGGATGGTCTCGATCTCCTGACCTTGTGATCCGCCCACCTAGGCCTCCCAAAGTGCTAGGATTACATGCGTGAGCCACTGCGCCCAGCCTTGTTATTTATTTATAACCGTATCTCTTCCTCTTCCCATCCCCTGACCATCACTCATCTTTTATCCATCTGTATAATGATGTTCACGGATGTTACATAAATGGAATCATGCAGTATGTATCCTTTTGAGGTTGGCTTTTTTTTCACTCAATATCTCTGAGGTTCATTCAGTTGTTGGATATATAAATAGTTCATTCCTTCTTATTGCTGAGCAGTATTCCATGATATGTATCCATCACAGTCTGTTTAATCATTCACTTACTGAAGAACATTTGGGTAGTTGCCTGTTTTTTATTGTTACAAATAGAGCTGCTATGAACATTCATGTACAAGTTTGTGTGAGAACATGAGTTGTTTGTTGTTGTTTGTTTGTTGAGACAGAGTCTCACTCTGTCGGCCAGGCAGGAGTGCAGTGGTACAGTCCCAGCTTACTGCGACCTGCACCTCCTGGTTCAAGCGATTCTCATGCCTCACCCTCCCGAGTGGCTGGGATTACAGGTGTGGCTAATTTTGTACTTTTAGTAGAAATGGAGTTTCACCATATTGGCCAGGCTGGTCAATTCGTGTCCTCAAGTTATCCACCCTCCTTGGGCTCCCAAAGTGCTAGGATTGTGGACATGAGCCACTGCACCCAGCCAGAACATGAGTTTTTCTTCCTGTGGGGTATATATTCATGAGTGTAGTTGCAGGGTTCATCTATTTTTAGTTTGGAAGGGAACTGCTACCCTGTTTCCTGGAGTAGATGTACCATTTTATATTATCACCAGGTGTATATTACCCAGTTTCTCCATCTCTCTCCAGCACTGGGGTTGGCACTATTTTTCATCCTAGCCTATTCTAATAGGTGTGTAGTAATATCTCATTGTACTTTTCGTTTACATTTTCCTAAATGGCCAAAGTGAAACATCTTTTCATGTGTTTATTTGCCAGTCTGTACATCCTCTTTGGTGAAATTATCTGCATGTCGTTTGCGCGCCCCCCACCCCCAGCCCTTTTTTTTTTTTTTTTTTTTTTTTTTTTGTTTTGAGGTGGAGTCTCACTCTGTTGCCCAGACTGGAGTGCAGTAGTACAATCTCAGCTCATAGCAACCTCTGCTTCCTAGATTCAAGCAATTCTGCCTCAGCCTCCCGAGTAGTTAGGAGTACTGGCATGTGCCACCATGCCCAGATGATTTTTGTTTTGTTTTGTTTTAGTAGGCCAGACTGGTCTCAAACTCCTGACCTCAGATGATCCACCAACCTCGGCCTCCCAAAGTGCTGGGATAATAGGCATGAGCCACCACGCCCAGCCTCTTTTGCTTACTTTCTATGGGATGGGTGTCTTAATGTTGTGTTTGAGGTGTTTTTAAAAAGATAACATTCTAGGCACAATGTCTTTGTCAGATATATGACTTGGAAACATTTTCTACCATTTCTTAATATGTCTTTTAATGTTGAGTTTGAGGTGTTTTAAAAAATAATATTCTAGACACAGTGTCTTTGTCAGATATATGACCTGGAAATTTTTTCTTTTTTTTTTTTTTTTTTTTTTTTTGAGATGGAGTCTGTTGCCCAGGCTGGAGTGCAGTGGCGCGATCTCAGCTCACTGTAAGCTCCACCTCCCGGGTTCACGCCATTCTCCTGCCTCAGCCTTCCAAGTAGCTGGGACTACAGGCACATGCCACCACGCCCGGCTAATTTTTTGTATTTTCAGTAGAGACGGGGTTTCACCGTGTGAGCCAGGATGGTCTCGATCTTCTGACCTTGTGATCCGCCTGCCTTGGCCTCCCAAAGTGCTGGGATTACAGGCGTGAGCCACCACCATGCCTGGCCGCGAAAAATTTTCTACCATTTCTTAATATGTCTTTTCATCTTTTTTTTTTTTTTTTAAATAGACTTTGATGGGACAAAAGTTTTTCATTTGGATGAGATCCGGTTTCTCAATTTTCCTCTTAATGGATCCTGCTTTTGGTGTCAAGTCTAAGGGCTCTTTGCCTTTCCTATGTTCTCTTCTAAGTTTTGCCATTTTACATTTAAGTCTGTGGTCCATTTTGAGTTAATTTTTGAATAAAGCAAGAGGTTTAGATCAAAGCTCATTTTTTTGCCTCTTGATGTCCAGTTGTTTCAGCGTCATTTATTTAAAAAACTTTTCCTCCTCTATTGAATTGCTTTTGCTTCCTGGTCAAAAATTAACTGGACATCGTTGTGTGGATCTATTTCTAGATTCTCAGTTCTATTGATTTCTGTGTTTATCTCAAGACAATATTGCTGTCTTGAGTACTGCAAC